TTAAAAGCAAGGTCTTTGTATTTTAAAACTGCATTATCAAATAACTGGATTAAAAAATCCAATGGTGGTACTATTCTATATGAAAAAGAAAATATTTCTCCAAAAATATTTGAAATTCTTTTAACGTAAGCTTAATTTAAATTAATTTAAGATTTAAATAATTGAATAATTGAATTATAATATTAAAACTTTTTTTTTATTTTAAAAGTTACATGTACAATGGAATTATTAATATAGTTGATTTGGATCCAAATGAAATTTTAGAGCTTCTTGAAGCATGCGATGAATTATTCTTCAATGAACTATTTGTAAGTTTACAATATCATTTAATTCATGAAGGAAAAGGATGGATCCAACAAAATCTAGTTTATTTCCATAAATATATATCAATGCATCAATCATTTGATTTGCTTCAAAAATATTGTGATGAATTATATTGTAATTCTCCAGAATTATTTTTAGAATCTGATGGGATGGAAGAAATCGATAAAGCATTGCTTATGTCTATATTAGAAAGGGGTGATATACCTTTATATGAAATTAAAATTTGGGATCATGTTATTCAATGGGGAGTGGGACAAAATAAAAAATTATCAGAAAAAGATATTTCAGAATGGGATGACAATGATTTTGGTTTACTAAAAAATATATTGGAAGATATCATTCCTTTAATAACGTTTAATGAAATTTCTTCAAAAGATTTCTATGAAAAAATTCTACCATTTAAAAATGCTTTTAATCAAGAATTATATGAAGAACTTTTTCAATATTATAGCATCAGGGAATCAAAACCAAAGTTACTACTTCAAAAAGATTCAAAACCGGGAGGCAATGGAAAGCTATTAAATTTAGAAATGAAATTTTTAATATCTAATTGGATTGATTATAAAGAAGACTACAATAAAGAATACGAATTACCTTATAAATTTCAATTGATTTTTCAAGGTACTCGAGATGGATTTGCAAGATCAAGTTTTGAGAAGAAATGCAACAATGTTGAACAAACTGTAGTGGTTATGAGAATTAAAGAAACGGGTACATTGGTTGGTGGTTATAACCCAGTTTGTTGGAATTTAAAAGAAAGATCTCTAGATGATGGATATTATATTAGTACAAGTGAAAGTTTTATTTATAAGGTTGATGGAAATCAACCTAATGATACAATATTAAGTAGAGTCAAAAATCATGATCATGCAATATTTCATACTAATAAAGATATCAATCTAACTTTAGGTAAAATAGAATTTCATGAAAAATCTATAAATTTTGGTGATTTACAATTGTTATTTAGTACCAACAACGAACCCTACTGTTTTTATACTTTTTACTCCGCTTTTTATGAGAACAATTTGAATTTGAAGAATAAGAACAATAAGGTGCATTTGTTAGATGAATACGAAGTATATAGATTAGTAAAGAAAAATTAATTATTTTAGAATACATATAAAACATCATTTTAACAACCAATTTAATATAATACACATAATACATATATTTTCTAGTAAATAAAATTAATATATACATTCATAGAATCTATTGATTCAGGAAATTGTAATTATAATGACTGAAGGTAAATATTTTATAAAGGGAATGAACAATATAATCAATATTCATAATATTATAGCCTGTCATTCGATATTTATAAAAATTTAAAGATAAAAATATATAATCAATTAATTCTTTTTCTCTTAAATTTATTCTGATTGCATTTTTTAATATTAATTATTTTTTATATAATTAAAATCTGAAATAAATCATTTTACTTTTAAATAATTAATTCTACACATTAATAACAAATCATTTTACGTGTAATAAAAAGTAGGGTTCCGGCTATCTTGGATTATTTATTGACGGACTTGCTTATAAATACTTTATTGCAAATGAAACGTGTGAAGAAAGTATGTATGTGGGTGAAGGTTGCATGCTACATTTTATTGTACTGTGGCCTTTTGGATGATTTTCAAAAATAAGATTGCCTATATTTTCCGACTTGCCTTGGAAAGAATAATTTGGACATGCAATAATTTGTGTATAAAAGTAAAAGATTACATTAGTTGTAAATTTTTTATCTACATTTTGAATTCTAGATGGCTTACTTAAAAACCAATATTTGCTAGCTTGTTCTTTCTTGCAAATGAAAACATCAATGAGTTATTGAATAAGTATCCGTGGGTCGAGTAAAGCAGATATTGATTGAAGTTATATACAATGTGTTTCAAAAAAATTGGCGGTCACAAAAATATCACATATCTCAACAATTACACAACATAGTTGAATTCATTTGAAAGCTTTATCATTTACTTTATTAGATAATAAAAAATAAACATGAAATACAAACAAGCACTATTTTACAACTTTCCTCTTAACATCAGAGTCCAAATGTCACAAACCCTGCTCTGAATTGCGACCTCCTGTGCTTGGAACAAGTTGCAGATTCTCTTGATATTCCTCCAAAGTTGTGACATGGTCACAGAGCCATCCTTACCCTAGAGGTAGAGCGGCCATCTCTGGTCTGGGTGCTGTGAGGGAAGATTAGTGAAAGTGTCATTGACGATTGATGCAGTCTTGATGCATTCCAGGGCCACGCGTCCCTCTCCTGGAATTTTAGCAGCATCATTGTATCATCGAGCGTAGCAGGTCAGATTAGCCTTGTGTACATGAGGAAGATGAGAGAATGTTCAAGGTAAAATGTGTGCTTCAACATCTGTAAAATTTCCGATAAATCAAATGTCGCATACTCGAAATGTTTCTTCTGTAGCAGTCAGTCGTGCTGCCTTGGCATCTTGTGATTATAATGATGTAATTATAATAATATTAATATTATTAACGATTACAAAAAGCAAAATGCCAATCGTTCGTTGTTGATAAGGATCTTACAATTATCCAGCAAGATCTGCTCCATATTTTGATTTCCAATTAAAATATTTATAAACTAAAATATATATATCAATACAAATAAAAAAAAGTACCTCTGGTTAGTTATTAGCACTTCTTCTTTAGAAGACTCGCGTTATGTAACCTTGGACTCAAATCAATCGTGTCAACAAAAAAAAATCTTTGTACAACACCAAGTGCCAACAATAAATAATTAATGACAAGTTCGTTGATCTTTTTTTTAATGTCTACTGAATCTAAAACAAAAAGAAAAAGAAGTAAAGAGGGGATGGGTTGGTTGGGTGAGCGAGTGTTTGTTAAAAGAATGGTGGTGGTTATCGCCACTCGCCGTCACGATAGTGACCAACTACACCAAATTTTGAACCCTGTTCACTTTGATTTTTTTTTTTTCAGTATGCCCAAATGATATAATTTTTTTTGTTTTAGTATTTTGAAGTTGACCGATTGTTATTATAAGCAGTACCGTATAACAGGCAGCAAATTTTGAAAATCATGTAGTTTGTCCACAAAAAATATCCGCAATCGCCAAATCGATTTCTAAATAAGGATAACACGCACCCAATCTACCAATAAAAATTGGATATTCTGAGGTTTTACGAAATTTGTGGATATTTTTTGCGGATAATTACACGATTATTATTATAACATTCTCCCTCCAGATTTTCAAACAAACAATTATAAAGCACGTGAGTTAACTGTGTGACAAAGTATTTTATAAAACACGTGACTTTTATGTGCAACAAAACATTTTTGGAAAAATAAATTTTCTCTGCCGACCACACTAGTGATTGAAGGTTTTTCATTTGGTGTTTATTTTATTTTGTTTGTTTAAATTTCTCCCCTCCCCCCTCTTAATTAATATTTTTTTATTAATTAATATATTATAAAAACAAAGTTGACGTGTAACTTTTACTATTTTTCCTATTTAAATTCTTGTCTATCTGGAGAATCATTACCTCATAACTCTGAGAATAGAATGATCTGTGTTCGTTTGTTTATTATATATATATATAAATAAATAATAATAAAAATAACTAGTTTTCAAAAAAAATGATGCTAAACTAATAATTAAATTTGAACAGCCTTATAACGAAAATAATGAGGTTTTAAGCTCTTATAAAGTTTAAATTAAAAATCTGGCTGCAACAAATTATTCCCTGACCTAAATAATCACCTACCCCTGAAGAACATATAACATTTTTGATAAGTTGATGGCTTTTATGTATGTCAAAAGCCAGTGTAACAATAAATATTTAGGAGAGTGTAACACAAATATTTATAATTATGCACACGTAATAGTAAATATTTCAAATTGATTGCTCTCCATGTGTATGGATGAAATTAATTTATTACTAATCACATGAGTGAAAGATTGTTCTTATTAACCTTTTATGTTTAATTTAATAGATAGGTAAAAGAAGCTTCCAAAATTTCCGGAAAATAAATTAACGTTTAAGGGGAACCCTCTCTTCTCAAAGATAATAACAAAACCTGATAGAAAAAAACTTGTTTTTCTAACAATAATGTTTCAATATACATAAAGGTTCAACAATTGAAAGGAGAGTGATGCAATATTTTTGTTTTAACCAATAATTGAATTATATGACTGTAAATTTGCGTCATTATTATTATTGTTAGAAAATATAATTATAGTCACTGAAATACGCCACCCACGTTTCTCCCGCGGCCGAAATGGATGACAGAGCAGATCTATCTAAATGTGGTAACTTACATTTGGTGTCGATGATATGATATCATCGTGGAAAAAATCGCATAATAATAATAAATGTGTTTAGTATTATTATATTATATATATATATATATATTTATATTTAATAATAATCACGATATTATAGTAAACGATGATGTGAAATCAGATGCCAACTTCGAGAAAAAAATTTTTAAAACGTTATTTTTTTTCGGATTAAATCATTATTACTAATCAAAATACGGGGTGTTAATTAATACGTATTTTTTTCCTTATCGAAAATAGGATCTCATTTTATAAATATATAAATATTTGGGTTTTTTTTTAAAAAAAAAATATTATATTTACCAAAAAAAAATCAACATTTTTTAATAATCAAACTTTGAATCAAGAAAATATGAAAACAGTAGAAATAAATATACTAGATATATTATTTGCCTCCGTACAGGTGTTTATATGTTTTCTTGATGGAAATTTCTGTCTACACTCTATAAAAAAAAAAAAAGACTTTTTATCTAACCATTACTTTTTTATTTTTCTAATCATAGTCTTGCTTACAAGTTATTCTTTTATGTATAACTGGATATATATGTGCAAAATATGATGTCATAACTTCAAAATCCGAAAAGGTTTTAAAAAATTAAAAAATCATTTTTCCTTTCGCTTTCTTCTAATTTTCCATTAACAATAAATATATATACACACATAACAGGGATTTTCTAAATTGATAATAAAAGTTTTGATGCCATGTCTATTATTTTCAAATATTGGATTTCAAATTAATGGCGAGAAATTAATCGAGCTTTGGCCAATAATTTTTTTCTTTGTGGTATTTTTCTTGATCAGTGCGTCACTCGGTTTATTTGGTGGCAGCATATTGAGACTTAGTAAGCCTAAAACAAAATTTATAATGACTGGAATAATTTTCAATAATGTGACAAGTCTCTCGTTGGGGTTATTACGCGGCATGGAGAAAACTAGTATTATGGAAATTTTATCATGGGGTGAAGATGATTTGCCATCAGAAGCGATTAAGCGTGGTACTACTTACATTTTGATATCTACTTTATTTGGTAATTTGCTGCGGTTAGTGTTACATTTCATTTATCAATTCATTCATTCAGTGATTTTCATTTCATTAATCAAAGTATATAAATGTATATAGATGGAGTTTAGGGGCGTATTTACTTAAAAGAGATGAAAATGAAGACGAAGAATTAATCATTCCAATTTTAGAAAATAATAACAACGATAGTAAAAATACTGCCATAATAATACCATCATCATCACTGGAGAATGTGACAGTAGTTGATGAAAGAACACCATTGATTTATAATGATAGCTCGGAAAGGCCATCATTAAAAAATATAGTTCCTAGAATAATATCGCAGGACTCAATAATACGAATAATTTTAAATAAAATCAACGAAATCATGAACCCACCTTTATATGCGGCTTTAATCGCACTATTAGTTGGAATAACACCACCAATTAAAGCTTTATTTTTTGGTGATGATGCGCCATTTTATCTAACAATAACACATACAATGGAATATTTGGGTTCAATGGCAATACCATTGACGCTAATTACACTCGGTGCACAGTTGAGAAATTTACCGCGTACAAGAGGACAAGAAATGATGCCAGCAATTAATTACGTGATGGTCTGTAGATTTTTGGTGATGCCAATAATCGGTATAATTACAATCTTGTTAACAAGATCATGGTATATTAGCGATCCAATGTTTTGGTTTGTCTTGATATTATTGGCTTGTGGACCGCCGGCTGTTAATTGTATGAATTTGACGCAATTAACTGGCACATTCCAGGAAGAAATGGCTACTTTATTATTTTATTCATATATAGCTGTAGTACCTATGATCACTATGTTATTGATGGTCATTCTAACTATTATAAGCAAAGTTGCTTCAGAATAATAGAAATTATATTTATTTTTAATTTAATCTGTAAAAAAGTTAAAGACATTATTTTTTATTGTAGATTAACTGATAAAACAAACACACACTATTTATAAAAACATTATCTTTTTAATGTAAATAATACAAAAAAAATTTTTTTTTATAATAATAATAAACTTGTTTTGAAAAAAGATTTTGAGAGATAAGAGTTGTCATAATCATGAAAGATAATGATGCAATTTGTAAAAAATCCAAGATCATCAACAAAAATTTAGAAGATGAGTTCGCATTGTTCACACAATAGATTGAACAACGCAATTTATGGAGTGTTACCAATTATAATCTCTATCTTGGCCAAATAAACTTCTAAAATTGTCACACGAGTATTTCATAACTAACATATACTCGAAAATAATGTATCCTTTTTTGTTTTTATTAATTTTTTAAACGTTTTGTGAAAGAATACTTTTATTTGATGACTGTAGGGGAAAATTGATAGATGGATAGATTTTTTATTATAATAATATTTATTTATTCCCTTTTTCGGAATCTAATCAGTGTATATTAATATATAAATTCCAGTGTGTAACTAATGCAGATTTCTACAAATTTAGAAACTATCTGCAGAAAACTACTAATGTACGATGTTACACCCGCACATTCACATTGAATTTTATACACTGTCTTTAATTGACGAATAATTAATATGCTGATCAATTTATTATTCACTGACTGTATCACATAAATACAGTGATGTGCATTGGAAAGTTTGGAAGTCACAGGCCTTCCATAGTTTATGTGTGTATATAGGACCTTGGATAATTATAATTGATATAATTGAACTGGTATGATGAAAATGGGTGATCTTGTAAAAGAATGGATACTATCTTGCCATCTTTTAGTAAGATATTCGGGTAGAGGTTATACAACTTTTTATTTCAATTATAATTATCCAGCTTATAAAATTTGAGAATTAAAAATAATATTTTATCTTACTAAAGGTATTTGATGATTGCTATATAATAATTGGTGATTGTAGAAAAGTCTTTCATTCATGAATTAATTTTTTTGGGAAGCATAAAAATGTAAAAAAATATATGTGCAACATTGAATTGGGAAAATAAAAAATTCATAAAAATAAATGTAATACGTATTCCGTTTGCATTGACTACTATGGAAGACTAGACACAGAAGGACTACTAACAAGTTAAAAATCATTTAAAAAGGCACGTTCTTCGTTTATCACGTGATTGGTTTTTTGATTGAACAATAAGTATTGATGTACAGCCTTCCAATGCTTCTATCATTGGAAGATTGAAGGCTCCAACCCCCCAATGGCATATTATTGCATAAATAAGTGACTATTACATGACTACAAGGTTTCTATTCGAATAAAGTTTATTCGGATGATTCGTTTTATTCAGTCATTCAAAACAAATAAAACGAATACGAGTAAAACAAATTAAAAAGAATAAAAGAATAAACAAATAAAACTATACTATTATTTGTTGCATTTCTCCTAATAAAAAAATCCTTATGTACATATTAATATGTTGTACACCACCATGCTCGCATCAATTTTTTTCCCATCGATTATCCAATTAATCGAATGTAGAAATTTATTGAAAATATTCAACAATAGGATAATCGGATAATCGTTGATTAATCGTTGAATATGATAATAATGATAAAAATGAAGGTAAAAATATTTCCCGCGAAATTTATTAATCAATCCTTGCAGAAAACACTAAATATTTTTATCTCTATTTTTTTATTAGAGTACTGCGCAAAAATTCTTTGACCGGTTAACTTTATCAATTCAAACATGTGAAATTTTTTAACAAATTCAAATAAAACGAATAATATAATCGATAGCAATAGTATATGCATTACCTAATCCAATTAAAAAAAATTTTCCTTCATAGTCTTTGTAGTAATAAGAATAATGATGGTAGCAGAAGTAATTGTCATTTTTTATTTTCTTTCTTTATTTAGTCATTTAATCAATTAATTATAATAATAGTTGTAGTAATGGGGCTTTCTCCTTTGTAGTGATAATAGTAATTGTAATTTTTTTTTTTTTTTACTAGCAAATAGTCATAGTAAGGTTTCTATTTGAATGAGAAATGTTTGTTTCATTCGCTATGAATTTGAACAAATGAACAAAATGAATAACGAATAAAACGAATAAAATTATTATTTACATATGTAAACTTGATAAGTCGGTCACGCAGGGGCAGGCTTATCAAATTTTTTTAAGTTTTATAACAAAATGTTTAAACAGCGTATAGAATTATTCATTACAAAAAAAAAACTTTCCAAGGTAGATTGCTTTTTTGTTTTCCTCTAATTTGATGTTATAGGTCTCTCGTTCCTGATATTACAGGGTTATTCATATCAGAATTTTGTAGTAAATAGATTTTGAATACTATACAAAGCAATTGTACTTGATATTAGGGGTTTCTTCTTCTGGTGCTTCTTGTACCGCAACAATTATCTCCTCATCGTCAATTATTTCAGGATTTTCTATTTAGAGTCAATATTAATTTTCAAATTAAAAAAATCTCTATCTTTAATCGAGACAAAGGATAAAAATTAATAATTGTCACAGATTTTAATTATCTTTTTATTTGAGACAAAGGTTAAAAATTGATCATATTTTATTTTATTATAGATTAGAGCCAATAAAAGATAAAATTATTGTTGTTGTTGTTGTTGTTGTTAAAAAAGAAATTGTCTTTTTGAAAATGTAGGTTCTTGATATAGGTTTCGGCTAATAATAATAACAATTCGCAATTGTTTCGTAAATGTTGTATGGTTGGCTCGGTCTAAAGACCTCCTATTTCTGCGCCACGTGGCCAAATTTCAAAAATAGCAATTTTGTAATTTG